TGGAATACATTTCATCTTTCCAATTGCAAAAGGAACAGAAAGTTAATCAGTGAGTACCTGTGTAAGTTTTGCATGCAATTGAAATTCAAATAAATTTTGGAGCTCTAGCTTTTGATTTTTCTGCAGTTACAAGCATTCATGATTGTTGTACGTTTTAATGGAATGTGCAGCCAGATGTTTGGGCTTTGTCTGATCTAAAATCAGAGATCTCATCTCCTGTTCAACTCCGCCTGTCTTTCTCAGTCTTGTCACTGGACAATAAGGCCAAGCCAGATGAGTCTTGGCTGGTGAGTTGCTTGCTCAAAGCTCTTTTGGCTTCTGAAACACTGACATTTAGGCTAGCCTGTGTTTGAGTTTTTCGAGCTACCTCTCAATTTTCCTGCAAACAGTTTTTGTTCAGGCAGGTGTTGTTGACTGTAGATATTTCACTGAGACAGAGGAGGCCTGGCCAGAGCAGCTGCATGTTTGCACGGTGTTGTTGTAGACCTACCCTCTTCTGCTCTGTTGCAAAAACATATGGATTTCTGTCCAGGAAACCTGAAGATAGTCTCACAGTCTAAAGACAGATGATCTGTTTAGTGCTTTGTTATCTTTCCTCATTCAAAATTTTATGTTGTCAAATCAGAATTTGCAATTTAATCCTGTTACTTATGTCATGGGTATAACCAACTGCGTATGGAGAACAGAGGATTCCCTCAATCTTTGAAGTAGTCATTGATGAATGTGAAAAGGGTTACTATGTCATCCAGCAAAGAAAGTTGTCATCTGCTCCTGAGTAGCAAGAAATTGTCTTTAAAACCACCTTTGCATCCACACTTCTCTTTATTACAGATCTAAGGCATAGATAACTTCTGTCTCTTGCAATTGAAAAACTAAAATAAAAAATGCTCAGGGAAGATCTTTCATTGACAAAAGTGAGATCTACTGTATTAATTGCATGACATATCTTAAAGATGAACATATAGAAGAGTTCAATATTAGTTGAATGTTGCATGGTTATATCACCAAATGGATATGGGAGGACCATGCATACATGGTCTCTTCCCTTGACAGAATTTTCAAATGTTTGAGGTGTCTTTTGCAGAAGTAAAGCAGACACCACCATTTTTTTTTTTCATCTCTTCTGGAATTAAGGTGGTTTTGCTCCCTTTTCTTTTGGAACTGGAACATTCTTCTCAACTGCAACTTTTTTTTGCTCTCAAGATATGAACAGTCAGTTGTCATTGACTTTGTAGTAGTTCCAGTGTGAGGGACAGTATATCTTCCTTGTGATACTGAGCATCTCTCTCTGTGATACCAGTAACAAAAGATTGCATTTTCCTGTGTCTGAAAGAGAAAATTTGTAGAGGATCATGAAGTTCTCCTTCAGAGTTATACAGATAAACACCTCTGTAGTTTCTCTTAGCTTATGGAGATGAGTGTATGTCAAGCCCGATTATACGCACACACCAGTTGCCTGTTTAAACCGGTTTGTGCATGCTGTGTGAATGCTGTGATAGTGTCCATGTGTACAGGAAAGTAGCCTCGTGGCCAGATATATGTCCAAAAATAGTAGGAAGCCAATTGCCCTTCTAAACCTAGTGCTGGCTTTCTATAATTAAGAGCTATTGGAAAGTGCTTTGCAGTGTTGTGTGAGATGCAATTGATAAAGGTTTTACTGCTGGTTTTATGTGTTTCCTGTGCTAAAGCTTTACAAGGTAAAACTAAAACTAAGCATAATGAAAAGCTGAAACAAGCAAAATAAATGACTCCCTTTCCTATACCTCAAGAGGTGTTTTTTGTTTGTTTTACTGTATCGATATTATTGGTCAGTTTTCTATCATGGATATTACAGAAACAGCCTAAGGACTTATTTTCTGCTGTTATGTGTTCTGCAACCTCGCTGACATCAGTGCAAATGTATATATATTTATCTGAGAATGAATCAGACATAGATAAGAAGTGAAATTCTCCTAATACATTATTTATTCAGATAATTCACTCTGTGTAGCAGAACCACATATTCAATTTATCTTTGACAGCCCTGAAAAGCCTGCCAAATATCTCTGTATAAATCCCAACAATCTAATATATTTTCATGATATTTATTGAAAAAAATGAGAGAAGGTGTTTCATCTCGTAAATACAGTATATGGATTAACTCCTGGGAACAACGAATATTCCAGACGAAAAGATGTGACAAATGGTTTTCATCTATTTCCACAGACCATTTTAATTGTATAGAGGTGCCTGCCTTTGATGAGAATTGAGACAGTATTGTGAGCCATAGTAACTTCCAGAACAAATCATGGAAACCCCATCACCAGTCACAGTTGGGTCAACTGGTACAAAGTATTCAAGAGCAGATGGTTGAAAGTGCAGCAAGAACTTGGATCAGAGAAATGTGGTTCCCTGAAAGCGAAATTTGGCCAAAGAAATAATTTAAAATGGATATTTCTGTAAAATATGGGCTTTTCAAGCCCAGGCAAGCCAAATATCATTCATGCCTCATAGTCAAAGATGGCTCCCTCAGCATCCAAACCTGAAGGAAGTTCAGAAGTGACTCATAGAAGACAACATCGCCTCCATGTGATTGCCAGCTCACCAGTTGGGTCACCTCGTTCTCCGTGAGGCCTCTGAACCAGACCCTGCCTAGATTGTGACATTTGGCAAAGTTTCAGAAGGGACTGTGCTGCGTTTTGAAAGGTGCAGATGTTCCTGTTGCTTGTGACCCCATTGCATTTGTGTCCCAAAGGGACACTAGCTCTGCTTTTGGATCAAGGGCTTTGCACGCTACAGTGCGGTCTTGCCCCACTGAATTATCTTTTGTTCAATGGGCTCATCTAGCATTCAAGGTCTTTATCCATGCAATTGCTCCTTCCTTGCAATTTGTTTCTTTGCATTCTTTATCCTCCTTGCAAAGTTGTTCTGTTGCCTCTTTTTTAATTCCTGC